AAATAAGGACCTGACATGACCTAAAAAACGACCCCATTTCACGCACAAACTCACTTGTAGACGCTTACCCCAAGCTTGTCGACTCCCATCATACCTACTTCATATTACTTAATCACTAGGACTAAATCATTAAGTTGATGTCTTCTGAAAAGTGTGATTGACAATAATGAAGCAATACTGTTTAGTATCTCTTATATGTTTCTAATTTCTCATGCATGGAAAAAGATTCCTCCGTGTCTTTCAAATAGAAAAGGTTGAGATAATATAGTATACTCAATTTCAATAACTTTGTGTCCACTTATAACACATTTAATTCAAAGACAAAATAATAATCAATTTTCGCATGTCCTATCTTTTCCTGTCACCAGATACTACGTTATATTAAACTTTTTGATATGTTATTCACCACCTGTGTTTTTCAGCAAGTCTACTGCTACAAAGTTTGTTTTGCTAGTTTTCTCCACTAATTAATTTCTCTTGTAAGTTGCGAACCAGAATGGATAACTCCTTGATAAGTTCTCCAATAATTGCCGAAAGAAGGAACAATTTGTCATGATGAACGTAATACTCCAGGAAAATAAGTTTTGGGGCAAGACTCGAACCGTCCTTCGTAGTGAATGAGATTTTTGTAATAATTTTAAATTTATTGATTGGTAAGGTCATTAGAGATAACACCTAAAGTTCAAAGGAGAGCAAAAGCGAAAAACATTCAAGTCATTCCTAAGTTTTCTTGAAATTTGGGTATTCTTCAAATGACCATTACTTTTACTACAGAAAGAGTTAGGATCCCCGTAAGATATTTTATTAAAGATCTTTTAATCCTCTTTCAAAAGCCACCGAGTTTGTTCAATTCCGATCTCTTAGTAAAATGCTATGAGTGATTTACTAATGGTGCGCAAACCTGAAAGCAGCTTCGCAATGGCTCGACTCGCAGCTCATTTTAATTAATCCTTTAGCGGTTCCTAAAAAACCTTAGAAGGTCATATAAATTTCCCTAAACTTATATAAAGTATTATTACAAATCAAAACCTCTCATTCACTCCAAAGATTCTATGCTCACGAAAATTAACAAGCGCTAAGGCTAAGTTCATATTGTAGGATTTTCCTTCAAGTTCTTTAAAAAGATGATTCCTTCAGTTACGTAAGCTTCCATAGTGTTGGGTTTGTTGTCTTCCATGCAGACTCCACTATTTAAAAATTATTTTGAAAAACATTTTAAACCATCTCCACGTCGCAGACTTACTCCGCAGACGGTGTTTTTCAACCGTTTCTCATGCTTATCTATCTAAAAAACACTCCTAAACATCAATATATATTTTCTACCACTAATCATAACCTTGAATTCATAATTTCACATTTAAGGTAGAGCTAAGATTTCGGTCATAAGAGTTTTTTCGAACAAATTGGGAAAGTCCATTTGAATCATTTGAAAAATCTGCCAACATGAATTAGATTATTTGTCATTACCTCATAACTCAAGAATCTCTAATGAATGAATAATTTATAAAAAAAATAATTAGTTGGTGCTTTAATAAACATTAAATGAAAAATTAAAAAGAAAATAAGAATACATATACAAAGACTTTATGCAATATAAAACAAAATTTTAAGTTGTACATATTGTAAGTGAGAATTTTTGTAACTAAGTCCAATAATTTATTTCCGCATAACGAATATACATACTATATACGTATATATTCAATAAAATCGGAGACACTAGCTTTGCAGAAACAGAAAAATAGAGTTAAAAACATATATTCAATAAAAACAATAAATATCATAAACATAAATTAGTTAGTGTAAGAAAATATACCAAAATATATAAAATAGATTGAAAATGAAAAAAAAAGGAATCTACTGAATACACTATGTCCCCCTAAAAATAATTCCTATCACGAGAAGTTTAAAGAATTACATCCACTCAGGATGAAACGCTTTTATTCACCAACTTATAAAACAATGGTGTATGTAAGTCACCCAACTGGAGCAAAATACACGAATATTTAATTTTGAGGAAGTAGAATAAGAAGATCAGAATTTTTGTAGTTTTAAAATGAGAGATAATCTCTCTATTTTTAGACAACAAGGGTGCTTTGAACAATTGTTTATTGCACCTTATTAGAAAGGTTACAACTATTTGTAAAGTTACAACCTTTCAGAAAGTTCCAAACCTTTCAACAAGTTGAAACTCTTCATTAAAGTCATAACTTTTCATTAAAGTCGCAACTTTCATAAAAGTGACAAATTTTTAAAAGTCACAACTCTTCATTAAACTCACAACTTTTTTTAACTGTCACAACTTTTGATAAAAGTCGCAACTCTTTATAAAATTCACAACTTTTCATAAAGTCACATCTTTTCATGAAAGAGTAAGACTAGTTTTGCAAATAAATAATTTAAAAGGAAATTCATTCTTGTGGTTGCGTCACGTAGGCGGGCCTAGGGTTCTCTTTTATGTGAATATTTTATTTGTTTCATGAGTCGAGCAAGTGAGTATGAGAATGATGAGAAAGATGAGAAAGTATTCATTAGTCTACATCATTATCATGAGATCCTTCATATCATTAACCATAACTCTTGAATTCATGATTCACATTCAAGAGAGAGTTAAAAGTACAGTTCAAGAAAGTTATTGAGTTCAATTGTGAACCCTTTGAGGTAAACTATCTATTTGAACATAGTTCTGAGAAAGTAACTTAGAGAAAGAGAAGAGTTGTATTCATGAGTTCCATATTATTATGCAGACCATCAAGTCGAGTTGTGTAATTTGGGAATCTTTCAGAGAAGTAGTATCTTGAAGTTCTAAGTCTTTAGAATTGAGTTCCTTATTCCCTTTGAGATTATAATTCTAATCATGGGACTATTCATGTTAATCAAGAAGTCTTTGAGTTGAATTTTGATGTTCATAATTTCACATGAACATTATAAGCCGAATAGTCTTGATATGTGAAGTATCTTTGAGTCCTTGAGTAAAGTAGTTCATGTTCAAAATTCTGCATGAACCCTTTGAGTTGAGCATTCTTGAAAAGAGTAGTATAATTGAAATTCTTAAGTTCTATCTATGGTTATTGAAAACCTTGGATTGAGTTGTCCATGCATATTATTCGGCATGAACTATATTTTATGAAGTCTTTTACAAATATTTGGACTTTGTTATAACACTAAGAGTTCAAGAAAATCTAAGAGTGAAGGGTTGATTTCATTTCACAAAGTTTTAGAGAACTAAGTATTCCCTAAGAATTTATAAATATTTTCACATTTGAGATAAAAAGGAAACTGAGATTTTCCCAAAAGATTTTTTGAGCAAGAAAAGGGACCATCAATTCTAAGAGAGCTTGTAAGTTAAGAGTTGAGTAATTATCTCAACCTAAAGAAAGAAGTTTGTTTTAAACACATATGAGCTAAGTATATTTTGGGAGTAGTATTGATCAACAAAATGGGGATGCGAGTTCATATTAAATAGTCTTCATACACACTATGTAGCCATCATAGGTATTAATGGCTCATACTTTTTAGATGATCACATAAGTTAAGCTAGTGGATCCAATAAGTTAAGTAAGATCATATGCCGATTGAAAGGTATAGGATGGTCCTTGGTAGCGTGAAGCAAAACCTTGTACCATCACTTAGGCTCACAGTTGTGTTTGTCGGTTAGAGAAACTTCCATAGTAATTATTCTTCTTTCTTATATAAGTAAAGTTGAGTTTGTTATTGTATTTTCTTTAATGAACTAAGTTGTTTTTACTGTTTTATAAAGTTTTCCATATATAGCATCTCTATTTATTGCATTATTACGAGTTCAGTATTTATAGTTGATTATCTTTCTATGAGTATCTTGAGTTAGTGCCTTTCATATCTTCGAGTTGAGCGCGTCTCATATATTTGAGTTGTATCTTATTCTTGAGTTGATTTGAGTGACCTTAGAAAAGATAAGAATGTTTCCTTTGATTATGTTTCAAGCTTATTCTATGTTTGAGAATCCCCTTATGCTCGTACGTTCCACGTACTGAGCCATTTTTCCTACATCTTCTCATGATGCAGACACAAGTATTTAAGATCATCAATAGGAGTTCCGTTGACACATCCGAGAGTTCAAGTTAACCATGGTGAGCCTCCTTGCTTCCAGCATTTTTTGATTTGCTTTTTAGTTTAGTCGGGATGTTGTGGGTTTTGTCCAAACTTCCATCATTATCAATTAGAGTCTTTATAGATAGTCAGTATAGTTGAAAAGACTGTATTATTCATTAATGTTATTAAATGTTTTAAAGAATTAAGTTGCATATTTTATAGGAAGTTTAATATATTATTTTTTATTCAAAGTTATTTATTGAGTATTGTTCAGAATTTCTTAAAGCTGACTTTATTGAATTTATGAAGTTTTAAGCTTTCCTATTCTGAAGATAATCTTACGCTTGTAGTATGCCAGGATGAGGGTTCGCTTGGGACCAACAATGGTTCTTGAATGCCAGCAACGTCCAGGGTATAGACTCTGGTCGTGACAGTAAATAACATCCTTGTGCACATCAACCACCAGACTTTCTAGATTCAATAAGTATGAAAATGACAAAGGGAGAGATTTTGCATTTGACAAGATGTTTAAGTACCTCAAATAAAATCCATGCTTGTGATATACTTTTCTTTAACTACTCTCAACTTTCCATGTAGTGAACTGGCAACTACTGGAGATAAGGGACTTATACCCTTCCCCAAAAATTGATTTGGATAACTCATGGAAGTTCAAGAAAATTATTACAAGTGACAAGATTGTTGTAGGGATGCTGATGATTCCATTTTTCGAGATTTTTTAGTAAATACTTCTATATTGGATGGTGTACATGGCCAAAAGTTTGGAGAATGTTGACTTTACCTTATTTATCAGCCCCACATCAACCTCAAATAAGAGATCTCCCCAAATCACGGATCTACCATTATGGCTAATAGTCACTTGCTTAAAATTAGAAGACGATTATGACTATTAATCCATGTATATATATCTTGTTAATCCTACCGTGTTATCAAGAAAATATATTACAATTCTTTCATTTTAAATTTTATGTTTTCATCATTATTCTACTTAGTATCAAGAGCGTTTGTTTTTTTCGATAAATAATGGGCATAACTTTTCGATTGTGGAGTTCCATTTCAAACCTTTCATTAAAGGAAAGGGCCTCCTTGGAATTATGGATTGATCAAAGGAGGTACCCGCAGAAGATAAAGAAAAAAAAGCTTGGTATGCTGACAATGGAAATATTATCACATGGCTAGTCAAATCTGTCTTTGTAGATATAGCTACGGAATTGACATTGTTTGAGAAAGCATCAGAAATGTTGAGTAAGCTACATAAACTCGGTAACCAAAAAAATCTGGCTAGAGAATTAGAATTAAAAACTACTTGCGGAATCTACACAAGGTGAGAAAAATGTTTGTTCTTTTTAATCTGTATTACGTACATTATGGACAGAGCAAGATCAGGTTTTTTCTGCCTGCATCCCTGTGGATGGATTGAACTTAGAAGGACTTCATGGCTACAAAGAAAAGAACAAGGATTGTACAATTTCTAATGAAAATCAGGCCTGAGTCAAAGTATTTGTGTGCTAATAATATTAACAATAAAAACTACAAGCTTTGTATGTGGTAGTTTGTGATGTCCTAGAAGATACTCGATTAAGTTCTCAAGCTTCTATGGAGAACTCCCTTACAATGGAAATTGCCATAGCTGCATACAAAGAATCATCTTTCTCAAGCAACTCCAACAAGCCTATTCAATGCAATCATACAAGGAAAAGGTATGTTATTTCTCATTCCAAAAAGCAGAATTATTTCAACTATTGTAAGAAGGATGATCATATTATTCTTGAATGTCCCATGAAATTTGGTCCTGAAAAACTCTCAAATCCTTATAAAAACTTAGAAATGATAGCAAGGGATGTCGGTTCATAGGAAACACAATGCCTAATGCAATCCGTTTAGCAATGACTTCTATGTACCCAAGTAAGACTAAAATTTTAGATTCAATGGTATGACATATTGATTCTGCTGCATCTAGCCATATGACAGGAAATCAATAACAAAATTTCAGATTCAATAGTATGACAAATTGATTCTGCTGTATCTAGCCATATGACAGGAAATCAATAACTTTTCTCTGATCTATCTAAGCGATACTCTAGACATAAAATTGTTACAGCAAAAGTCTATGATTTATCTGAATTAGGTATGGCTCCATTAAACAATTTTCAAGAGATATTTGTGTACAAAAACTTAGTGTGAATCTCTTATCTTTTGGGCTACTTGTAGAATTAAATTTTTTGGTCATCTTTTCTCCTAATGGTTGTGTTATTTAGAACATATTGACAAGGGAACGACGGCCAGGGGATGCAAGGTAGACTATTTCTTCTTCAATCTTGGGAAACCAAAATTCATCAATGTTTTCACTCAGCTTCAAATAAAGATATTTTGTTTTAAAATAAAATAGGGAACTTGTGATATCGACGTTTATGTCATCCACACACTTCTCGTTTAAATATATGTTTAAATAGTGTAATTTGTTGAGTAAACACTCATTGACTTTTCCCTCTAAATTACCTTGTGAAAGTTGTGCAAAATCAAAGAGTCCTTTTCAGTAAAAAAATACATGGGTTTTCTTTTTGATTTAATTCATATTGAAATTTGGGGACCTTCTCCAATTTTCTATCTTTTGGGGTACAAGTATTTCATCTTATTTATTAATCACAAATAATTTTGTGATACCAAACATTGTCTAAAAATTTATAACCTTGTAGAAATCCAATTTGAAAAAAAAAAATCAACATTTTTCGTTCAAAATCTTGAAGGAGAGTATATCATGTTAAATCTCACTAATTTTCTCAAGATAAAGGAAATATTCATCAATGTTCTTGTGCTTGTACACCATAACAAACGGTGTGGTGGAAGGTAAGAATAGAAATATTGTTTAAACTACTTTAGCTCTTCTTAATACTTCACATGTTTCAAAAATATTTTGGGTTGACACAAACCAAGCAACTATTTATCTTATATATGGACAATCATCCTCGAGTATGAACTAAAATTGTCCATAGCTTCTTCTTTTCAAAAGGTTGCCCAAATATTCACACCTTAAAGTCTTTGGTTGTGTTTGCTTTGTTATTATTCTAGATCATGAATACAATGGTATTCGAAAGGCGTATTTGTATTTGGATTAAACTAGTCGTTTATTGAGAATTTTTCGACAAGTTATCTTCTTTGAGAATTCTTTTACTTATAATAACAAAGACTTACAATTTTCTACTATATCTTTCTTGAAAGAAAGTTCTACTCATGATTCTTCTTCTCATAGCCACCTAGTCGTTGGTTTATCGTTGAACATGTCCACTGCCACGACAGGTACTACTTATGACTTTGATCCTTTTTAATAATGATACTACTTCAGTAAATACTAATCCTTTACCTTATCAAACTACCATATATAATTCTTCATTAAACATTAATTAGCAACCTTCTCGTACACATGAAAATATAATTGACCCCATTGTACGATCTTCCTGTCATGCTCCTCCTCCAGGTCAATATGGATACTCAGCAGGGTGATATGCCATACTAACAACCTTAAATTCTATAGCTGTGTCAAATTATTACATGAAGGCTAGTGGTAAATAAAATGTTGGGAATATGCAATGCATGAAGAATTAGTTGCCCTTGAGGAAAACGATACAAGGGTTATGGTGGATACACCAACTATAGGAAATATAGAAGGGGAATGCTTTCTTTAGGGAATGTTCAGTTTTATATAGGCTACTTAAGGCCGCTTGAGATGATTATAATCATCTATTACATCTCGATTTATACTGAATAAAATTTAAATCTAAAGTCTTGCACAAATAACAAGATACATATATCACAATTTATTACATGCATGCATTACAAACTACTAAAAGACTTCTTGAAAAACTAAAAGACAATATTTGAAGACCAAAAATCAAGGTGTAAATACATTAATTCCAACGCTTCCCCTTAATGCATTTTCTTGACAACTCCAATGCCTTCTCAAAGATACCAAAACCTTTTTCATGGAAATGTTTTGGTGAAGATGCCAACATGTTGTTTTGTTGTCTGAGAAAAATTGCAACCGAATTTTGCCTTTCTATTGTACCATTGAATCTCTCCTGTTTGATTTAGTTTGGTTTTGTAAATCAATATTAGACTTATAACTTCTATTTCTTTAGTTATAGTCACACAATCCCAAGTATTATCTTTCTCCATCATACAATTTTTTTATGTCAAGGCTTTCTGTGAAACATCATGTTTTATTATTACCTCCTAATAATTATCTGGCTCAACATCGGCAAAGTTGCACCTTCGATAAATTTCACTCAAGATTTTTCTTTCTCTTGGGGATGGTTATTCATCATCATGATCTAATATTTGTCCCCTTTGTGGACACCTTCCTCTTCCTCGTCCTCTTCTTTATTTTGATACATCTAAAATTGAAGTATTCTCTACCTTAATCTTAGTCTTTAATTCTGGAGGGCCTTGCACCATGTCTTTCTGCTATGGAATCTTCGAACCATGAAAATTCAAGTGACAAAATCTTTTGTGCCAAAACAATTTATCATCTACAACTTCATTTTTTAATGTATTCTAATGAAATTATAAAGGAATTTCTATTTTTATCATCTCTACTTCAACAATGATTTGAATCAATTTTATCATAAATCTTTCAATAGTTATCTATAAACACAACAGAATAACCATTTTCTATGAATTGACCAATACTAAGAAATTTTTCTTCAAGTCAGGAACATAAAGCACATCATCAATTTACTTACAGCTCCCTTTTATGTTGATCGAAATGGTTCATTTACATTTTGCATCAACTAAGACTCCATTCCTCATCACTTTAGTAGTGACACTACTATTATTTGGGAGAAAAGTTTATTCATATCATGTCATGTTGTTTCTACCAACGCAATCAATATACTAATCATTGGTTTTTTCTGAAACATCAGATTATGAAGCAAAGAAAATGTTTTCTTCCCTTTCTTCCTTCTACTTTTGCAAAAAAATAAATAAATAATTGCTCCCGTTTCTTGTGCCAACAATCCTCTTAATGTGGCCAAACTTTTTGCAAAAATCACAATTGTCTTGCTTTTGTGTCAACATTTTTTTCATTGTGATTAGTTCCTTTTTCAAATTTTACAAAAAAGACTAGCACTTTTCTCACATTTTTCTTCAACCTTCTTAGAAGAATCATCACGATCCCGCTTTTTTTTAGATTGCAATTCTTCTTTTGTTGATATTTTGAGAAATTTTGAGAATTCTCATTTGTTTCGGACTGGAAAGTTGTCTCTTTTGGCTGATCTTCCCAAAAATATTTTCTATTCTTTTGTGCACGAAATGATCCAACAAGATCTTTGACGAAAATATTAGAAAGTTCTTTAGTCTCCTCCGTGATAACAACAATATTCTCAGATTTCTCTGTGACACGAACTAGATTCTTTTCCACAACTTGTTGGTTACCTTGATTTCTCATTTCTTTAACAATATTCATGACACTTGTTCATTATTCATTAATTTTTTCAGATTCTATCATCTTCATGTTTTGAATTCTCTACTAAATGTTTGATTATTTATAGTATGTACCTTTTTGTCACCATAAACCTCTGTTTGCAGAGACTACAAACTTCCTTTGCAGTCTCTCAAGCAAAATTTTTATAAAAATATGCTCTTGAGACTCCCATTTGGAATTTGCTCAAGGATTTTGCATTTTGACGATATTTAGCCTAAAGATTTTTTATCTCTACTACTAAAAGTTCACCATCATTTTAGGCTCTTCATAGCCATTTACAACAGTAGCCCACAAATATTCAACTGTCAAATGTGTTCTCATTCTTATCCTCAAATATTCAAAATCATTTCCATCAAAAAATGGAGTACAACCGAAGAATCAACACACTCATATGTTTTGGATGTACTAGTTTTTCCTTCACCTAACCGTAGATTAAGAACGAAAACCTGCTCTTGATACCAATTGTAGGAAACATAGAAGGGGAATGCTTTCTTTAGAGAATACTCAAGTTATGCTTTTTTTAGAGAATACTCAACTTTGATATAGGCTACTTAAGTAAGCTTAAGATTATTATAGTCATCTATTACATCTTTATCTATACTAATGAAATGTAAAATCAAAGTTCTTGCACAAATAACTAGATACATGTATCACAATTTATTCGATACATGTATTACTAACTCCTAAAGGACTTCTTGACAGACTTAAAAAGACTATTGAAAGGCTATACATCAAGGTGTGGATGCATTAATTCTAACAGCAACAAATGCAACAATTATTGGAAGTAGATGGGTGTTTTCTATCAAGATAAAAGCTGACGGATACCTAGATTGATACAAGACAAGATTGGCAGCTCAAGGACAAAGCAGGAATTTGGAATTGATTGCGATGAAACATTTTCTCCAGTAGCTATGATGACGACAATATGTATATTGGTAGCTTTAGAAGTTTGAATTTACATCATATGGACATCAAGAATGCTTTCTTGCATGGAGACTTGTATGAAGTTATCAGGATGAATAAACCACCAGGTTACAATTTTTTTTAATCTAAATAAGGTGTGTTTTCTTAATAAATATATGTATTGGATTAAAACATGCTCCATACTGTTGGTTTGAAAAGTTTTGCACTACAATCCTATGCGCCGATTTTATTCTTAACAACTCAGATTATTCAATAGTAATACGTCACTCTACAACAAGTATTTCTATTCTTCTCCTTTATGTTGATGATATGATTATAGAGGAAATGATGAAGTCTGAACCTCTCAGTTAAAAAATCTTATACACTCCTCGGTCAAGATAAAGGACCTAAGAAAGCCAACAAAATTTTTTTTGGGGGTTGATGGTATGTTGCAGAGAAGAAGTCATACGATTGAATCAACAATAGAATGCAAAATATCTAGTTCGGTTAGCTAATATGATGGTTAATAAGAAGGTCCATACTCCAATTGAAGCAAATAAAAAAATAGGAAGGAGAGATATTTGTCGATCAGACCTTGGTCACTTATGTATCTTACTATGAACCATCCTGTTATTTCTTATGCGGTACAGATGTTAAGTCAATTTGTTGCCGAGCATTACAAGATAAACTGGACAACTTTACTCAGAGTTATTAGATACATAAGACGTACTTTGAATCGATGTCTGTTATTCCCATCATCTTCATTTCTGGTCATAGTAGGATGCACTGATGCAGATTAGGCTGGATTCCCTAACTCAAGACGGTCCACTATAGGTTAGTGCATGATCCTCAGCTCGTGTATGATCATTTGGAAGTGCAGAAAACAACCTCAAAAATCGAAATTATCTACAGAAGCTGCATATAAAAGTATGTCTGCTGCATGCTTTGAAATTATTGGTTACGAAGGTTGTTATCAAAACTCGACATCAAAATGGAAGAATCAGCCACATTGTATGGAGAAATTATTAGAGCAATCAGAACAGAAACCTGCCCCGTTCATCATGAAAATACCAAGCTCATACAAGTATATATCCTCTAAAGATCAAAGTATTAACCTGCAATATATATCCTCTAAATATTTGTTTACAAAGGTCATGTTAAGAAGGAGATACAACTATCTTTTGTCCAAACCCATGCTTTGTGATACTTATCATTTGTTTGAGGGAGGATGTTGACTTTACCTCTTTATCAACAAACAATAAGGACTCTTCGATTGTGTTTGGTACGAAAGAAAATGTTTTCCAATTTTCTCATTTTTATTGGGATAAAAGTTTTGGAAAATGTTTTCAAATAAACTTATTTTCCACAAAATTAAGGAAATTAACTTCCCTTCAAAAGTTCAGGAAAACATTATCCAAAACACTCATCTAACTTCAAATAACATTTTTTTTTACAAAAAATCAATTTCTAAATAATATTTTCAATTTCAAAATTTTATATTTTCACTCCAGCCTCCCCTAGAACCCCTTCATGCCTCCACGCACCTCAAGAAAAATTAAATTTGTTTTTACAAAAATATTTCCAATCTAAAAATTTCATTTTTTTACCCCGATCACGGACTCCCCCCCCCCCCCCCGACTCCCCTCGCAAAAAAATAAATAAATTGTTTTTAAAAATTATTTCAAATTCAAAATTAAATTTCTTCACCCCTACCCTCGGCCCCATCCACGAACCACCCCCCCACCCACACACACATGGATTTGTTTTAAAAAAATATTTTCAACTTAAAAATTTAATTTCTTCACCCCTATCGCGGACCCCACCCACCCACCCCGTACGACCCCCTCCCCCCCCCCCTTTCATAAAGAAAAATTAAGTTTATTTTTAATAAATATTTTTGCACTTCAAAATTTTTATTTTTTCACCCATACACCACCTCCTCCCCTACCCCCACCCAAAAAAATAAATTTGTTTTTAAAAAATATTTTTGACTTCAAATTTTATTTTTTCACCACTACCTCCACCCCTGCCCCTAACACTCATCCCACCTCCCAAAATATATATATTTATTTAAAAAAAATATTTTTAACTTTATATGTTTGATATTTTTCCCCTACCCTCCCTCCCCGCCAACCCATACTTTACATTTTTATGTTTTCACCCCTACCCCCCTCCCCCTACCCGGGAGGCCCCCTACCAGTGAAATTAAAAGCGTGTCTGAGTGCAAAAGTGATATACCGTGGTTTCACGGTATTACTAAAAAATTTTCTTTAAGTTTAGTGTGTCCAAAAGCCTTTTTGTGTTAATTTATATATAAGATTCTTTGTATTTTGCAGGAAATAAAATGTCCAAAGCTGAATGCGGAGATTTTAAGCGAAGAAATGCAGAAGAGACCACTTACGGAGCTTATGACGGTCCGTCGTGCTTGTGACGGTACATAGGTGGCAGCTTAGTGCAGTTGTTGAAGGAAGATGGGGAAGTCTGACCATGTGTGGGGTTTTTAAGCTTGTGACGGTCCGTCGTGTCTATGACGGTCCATCCTACAGGTTCATCATGAAGATAAGAGAAGTAATCCCAGTACCTCTATTCCGAGAGATGAAGTGTTTTGGAACGAAGGCCCTCGACGAACTGTTGTGCCTATGACGGTCTGTCATACTTGCCGTCGAGGGTAATGAAGAAGAGCAGCAGAAGAAATTGCACAAGTATGGGACAACGGAGTCCATGACGGTCCGTTGTGACCATGATTAGATTGTTAGACTTTTAATTGTTAGACTTTTGATTATCATTAGACTTTTTGTGATATTATTGATTACTTTGAGATTCTTGCAAGTGATTTTTGGTGATTAATCAAGCACAGTTTCGGATTTTACTCTTCCTTATTGAAGTAAGTACATGAATTCTTATATAATATATTTGAATATTGTAATTATGACAATGGGTAACTAAACTCCATAACTAGGGTTGTGGGAACCATAGGCAAATAATGAGATAAAACCTAACTAAAATAACAATTGTAGAATGGTGTCTTGCATGTTTTAATAATTTTTTCACTTAGAAATCTTTTTAACGGACGGCCAACGTTAGAACTCGCCTTAATGCTACTTGCCGGACCAAGGAGGTAGATAATAGGAAAAGAATTATTAACATAGATTTAGTGTATACTATTTAATAGGCTAGTATTGATTGGTACGAGGTAATAACTTAGTCAAATATCGATTACGGTGCTTAATATGAGGTAAAGATAAGGTTAGGATAGCAACACACGTAGCCGGACCAAGGTGAGGAGTTAGATTTTCTAAATGCCAGACCAAGGATTTAGTAATACATAACTTATCACCTTGCATGCAAGATACTAGGAAAGAATTGTTAAAGTTAGAATTATCAAGTTATGAAACTGTGGGGAACACGTAAACCCTAGTTACTTTGATTAATTGATTAAAATCCAACATTCAAATCTTTTTAGTGTCTCATTCAATTTCGTTAGTTATTTTCATTCATTTAGAAATAGAAATCCCCCTTTTATTGTTTTTACATTCCAAGGAAGTCATTGACCAAACAATAGTAATAATAGGTTGAAGTTAAGTCTAGACTATTTTCCTTGTGGGAACGATCCCAACCTCACTAGTTGGGTTATTTACTTGACATGACCGCTTTACTTCTTATTTGAGAAGTATGTTTGAGTGTATCAAATTTTGGCGCCGCTGTCGGGGAAAGTAGCTTTTAGATTAACTTGAACTTATTTCTGTACTTTAGTTGATATTTTCTTGATTTTACTTTGTTTTATTGTTTTTGATTTTTTTTTTTCAGAACTATCCTCCTTGTATGCCAAATACACGGAGAGGAAGAGAACCCTTGTTTCCCTACAATCACGAATTAGAGCGTACACTGTGCAATATGAATCGAAACTTGGGAATAAATGATGATTATTCAAACAAGAACATCCCAGCTCCGGTTGATGTTCATGGTCAGTTGTTACCCGATGCTCCGGGCGAACACCAACTGAGGGGACAAAATCTTATTCCACGACCCCAGGAATACTACAATGGCTATGATAACATAGCAGACTCGGATGGGCCACTTGTCTTGCCTCCTCTACCCACAGGCCACAGCTTTGTGGTAACTAGTAGCCTGATGCAAATGCTCACTGCCAGAGGTTTGTTTTCAGAGCTACGTTCTAAGGATCAACATGCCCATATACCTAGGTAAGGGCAATGTGTAAAAGTTGTGTAGGTAGGCCTGATTTGGATTTAGATGTAATAGGTAACAGAGTGTTTCTTCTCTCACTAATGGGAGAGGCTTCGATGTGGTTTACTGAGCTCCCATACAACTCAATCATCACTTGGAACCAACTAAGGGATGACTTCTTAGCATGCTACTATCCGGTCTCCAAGAAACTAAACCACAAACACAGAGTGAACAACTTTGTGGAATTGCCAGGAGAGTTAGTTAGTAGTTCTTGGGATAGATTCACCTCGTTCTTGATAAGTGTCCCAAATCACCGTATAGAGGATGAGTCACTGAAGGAATACTTCTATCAGGGACGGGATGGTAACAATAAAATGGTGTTGGACACTATAGTGGGTGGATCTTATGGGGAATGTCCTTATGCTGAGATTGCTGAAAAATTAGAGAAAATATCCCGGAATAATAAAGCTTGGACTACTATATCATTTTAGCCATCATCCTCGTTTAGGGTTTTCTTGCCTATGTTCTTTTCCCCAAAATACTTATTACTTTCTCTGTTGAACCGGCATGTTTATATCTTTTGTACATAGTTTAATTCTGGAGCATGATGGCTAAAATTATATCCTGATAAACTGGAAAATGATGCATGACTAGGCATATTAACTGATAATTGTGAGGCCCTAAGCATGACATAGAGGTAAACCATTGCATTACCCTAAGTCTAAAATTCGAACTAGGTGTCTGATAATCTGGTATAGTAATTAGATGTCAAGTGAGTGTGAGGAAAATTTGAATAGTCCACTATTGGTATTGAGGTAGAACTTGCCTGGTTAGTCCTACTAAAAAGTGAGTTGTCATAGACAATTAGGAAAGCATCAAAGGCCCTTATTCAATATAGCCCATTTGTAGCCTAAATAAAAGAAACCAAATGAAATTTATCCTTCTTTGATCCAAATGATCTGAGCTTACATTTGACCATTCTTTTTCA